ACTAATAGAAATTCACTTTTTTATATTTGTCTGTGGCAACAAAAATAAACCAGAATAGCAATTATTGTCCAATAAAAAAAAAGAACATCTTACTTACCATTCAATTTGCACTATTGTTAGACCTAAAGCAACCTCAAGCTTCACTCCAACCACAACAAAAGCACAATACCAACTATTAATAAAAGAGTTAGTTGCTTTGAAAAACAACAGAACTGTATTAGGTAAGAAAGGAATTAAAGACTCAGACTAACAAAGTTGAAATTTTCTAAACTTTTAATTAGATGTAATATAAAACAATTAGTTGAAGGAAAAACATTCAAATGAACAAAAGCAAGAAACAAATACATTTCTTGCTTGGTTTCGTTCTGAATATTGTATTTTGTCTGTATAATGACATCATTTACTCTACAGTTACAGTATATTTCCAGATCTGAAGAAAAGAAGATACTAAAAGTGTGTGTATGTGTGCATTATAAAAATATTTTGGTTCATAGTTCATACTGATGATAAAAATTCAACTGACATACTTGCTTCACAATATGTTACATTTATGTTGCGACATGCTCAGCTCCTAGGATCAGTAATGCAAAGTTAGCTTCAAGGACCAATGTAAAATATTAAAAACCAAGGAAAAATACAGTTCAGAAGCAAAACAAAAGCAAACAAAAATACTATGTGTAGTTTTTCAACTTTTACTTATAATATTTGTCAGAAACAGTACATAATGTATTAAGTTCACATTCACTAAACAGTTTTGAAATGTCTTTTCTTTATTGTTTATACTTGACATTGCACACTGCTACTACACTAAAACGTTACACTTTTTCTTTTCAACAAATTCACAGTAAACATTCACACTATTTAAAAGTTGTCTAATACAAATAACATGAATACTATTGCTTGTTCAAATACTTAACTTTGCTAACTAATTTGTATTTGGTGTTTTGACTTATTAGGCCACCTCATCTAACACCAGAATTTGAGTTGTTCTTTTGTAAAGCATTTTTATTTTGAAAACTTTTCAAAATTACTTCAGTGATAACAATTTACAAAATTCAAGTTTTAAATGATCTACAAATAGAGTTTTTTCAAACATTTCAAAGTACTGGAGACTTACATTTATGTAGATATTTTGTTTATTTAAGACTTTTCTCAAACTGCTGTTTGGCTTCTAAACATGTTCCACATTAAAACCTTTTAGTTGTTCAACAGCAACTTTTAATTGATATACTATAGGTTTTGTTAATACACAAACAACTATACATTCATCTATTCTACATCACGTTATCTATCTGAAAACCACCTGTTTGATAGTTAATCAGACATATTAGTTGTGTAACATACATGCACCTGCGAGTGTGTTAAGTTTGATTACAAGAAGTGCATATTATATCTATGCACACAAACAGTTTACAAAAATACAGACTTTAAAACTGTTGATACCTGAATATAACACAGATTTAAAAAATAAATTACAAGACTAAATCTCCACGTAAAGTTTTCTTAATTTCAAGAGTTGTCATGTACAGAATATCCAAGAGACTCAAACAGGGGTATTATACCACAAATCCTTATGATATAAAAATAGTTTAGCACAGATTTGTTTTATTTTCTGAGAAACAGCAAGTGTTCCCATTATCTATGGGTCTCACTTTTAATATCTCAGATGTAAAAATAGCTTAACAAAGTACATACACCACATAAAATATGTCACTGCTAGGGTTATAAAAGAAAGTTAGAACTGCACCTCATTTCTCAAGAAATAATTTTTCAGAATGTTCCATCTTACCTTATTTTTTGCTTCACCCCCAAAAGCAAATTTATTGGGAGGCTTTCCATCAGGTATCTTGTACATTTTAAACCACTCATGAGTTGCCTTTTAGTAAACAAAAAAATAGTTTTACGTGTATTTTTACATATAGTTTACAAATAGTTTCAGTTTTCAAAATACAACAAATACTTACTTATTATGCAGAAATAAAATATCTATTTAATTTGATTACAATCCTCCTTTAAAAAGTGAAACTACAAAAAAAAAACACGTTTCTTGTATCACCCGTGTTTGATAAACATTTTAACGTACATTAAAGTGTATGTTTCAGAGGCTATTTATACTTTTGAATACAAACATTGAACATAAAACCACAATGATTTATTATCATCTTGTGAACTTGACAAAAACATAACATACTGATAACATGGTAAATATCCCACAGTAATGACTAACAGTGCTTCTTTAACATAAGATTTTTTATGTGTAGTATAGTTTAAAAATGAATAAAGGCATCTATCTCATTTAATTGTAGTAGTCCAGTAGTCAAAAATATGCATTTGGTTTACAGATGTTAGAAGAGGATTACAGAAGTGAATATTCAAGTTCAATGCAAAGACCACCTGAATAATTTTTAAGTCTCGACAGACAACAATGAGATCTATGCACTATGTTGCCATTACCTTTAAATAATTATTCAACCTTTTGATGAAAAACCTGAAGGGAACCAATGGACCAATGGAGGTCCACAGAAAACAGATGGAGAGTCACTGGCTAAACTATTATTAGGAGAATTATTCTTATCCGGCACAACCAGTAGTAACTGAAACTTGAGTAAAGTTAATTTTTTAATCCTTAATACTGGTTGGTGACAGATATAAGTAACTTTAGTAATAACCATATCATTCATTGTTCAATGTGCACTCAAAGCACCACAGAATCTATTTTTTAAATTGCAAATAAGAGGGTTTAAAAATACTTATCAGTTTCCAATTGGCAGTTCTTATAATTTTTTTTTTTTTTGTACAGTAATGCTGTATGTTGGATATACAAGACTGTTTAGTGTAGGTATTAATATTTAATTTATTTTGGGAGTTAATATTTAATGATTGTTTAATTTTCATAACAAGAGTGTTGAAAGCTAGTCATTTTAAAGGCGATAGTTATGACAAGTTTGGTTGTGTAACTCAGCAAGAATCGTACTTTGTGTCTGGTTCAATTGTTGTGGTATTGTTGATGTTACGTTACTTGAATCTTCAGTATTTTTCTCGTTACCTTACAGTGCCGTTTGCATAGTTTAGAGAAAGTTTGAGGCTTCAATTGTGTAACATACAAGTACAGGCAACCAAGTGAGCACAATTCAAGTGCACTTCAGTCAGAGAATTAGTTAATGAAAGAAAATATGAAATTAGCAGGCATGCGAGTGATTAGCCACAATGGGTGATATTTCAAAGCAAGTTTTACAGTTTAATACAGATAAGGAGAATAATTTTTCTTGTTAAAGGGTGTTTCTAAAGTTACTTAACTCGTCTGTGTGGACTTTGACGAAAAGGAGACAATTATTTAAAGTTCAGGATACAACTGTGGTAACCAACGGGGTAACGTAACTGAATTATTCACTGATAAGAGTAGAGAAAAATAATTTGTCTTGTCAATTGGATTCAAAAGTAATTGAATTATCCTGAGTGGATTTTTGACAAGAAAAGAAAATTCTTTAGAGCTTTAAATACAACTGTGCAAAGAATTTTTGTACAAACATTTAACTTGTTTTGAATATATTATTTTGAAACAAGTGGATTGTGTGCTGTCCATTTATTGTTCAAATTTATCGCCAACAAGTAACAGACACCTACTGTAGAAGAATCCCAGCCCACACATATAAAACCCTGACACTGAAGATGCTCAGTTCTTGATCAACGTTGAAGAAATTGATCGGGTGTTTTGTTTTAGAGCAAAACTACTTTAGGCTATCTGATGTGTCCACTATGGGGATTTGAACTAGAGATCTTAGCATTGCAAGTCTGTAAGCTTACTGCTGTCCCACCAGGGACAATGATGAAGTTATATGCAGTCCAATATATTGTACTTTACAATTCTGTCCAATCATGTTTTCCTTCCCTATGTCACCAGCATCTGAATTTTGGCTTTTCCTAGTGGTAGAAATGTTCTCTTCTGACTGAAAGTAACAGACCCTCATACAAGATAATGAAATAAGTTTTGAGGACAATGTTTCTACTACAGAGCTACTCACTATCACTCTGCATTGAAATCCCTACTCTTGTGCACATTGAACTAACATGAAGACTAATTATAATTGCATTTATATAGTTTAAACAACCACCTGATATAGCTATGCAAATAAACAGTGATCTAAATTTATTGAGTAATTGTGTATATAGGGGAGAAGAAACCCAATGGAATGACTAGTTAGTGTATTAATATGCAGAAAATGTTTACCAACGGGATAACCTACCTGTAAAAATCCAGGCATATGTATTTCAACATCTTCAATATCTGTAGAGATATAAAAACAAGCCAGGTGTGATGCAGTCTACTCATTAACACACACAAAAGAAAATGGTGTTAAGAATTAAAGCTCCTAGTATTTGTCAGTTGTAAAATGCATTTTAATTAAAAATTACAATCTCATGTGGGAAAAAAAACAAAAAACAAATAGAATTCTTAAATATTTTTCTGGGCAAATGCATGTTTCTTTATATGATACAGCACAGATATAAAATTTTATTATTAAAACAAATCAGTATTAGAGTCACCAAATCAGTGAACTAATTACACAGTGTTTATAGACTCTTAGCCATAGTTTCTGTATCCCAGCTGATTTCACTAATAAAACTACCTTCTAGAATAAATAATTATATGTGTACACTTTCTAAAAAATTATCATCATTTTTTAAAAATTGAACAGTTGTGTACTACTGAACAATGTTAACATATGAACATTTACATATAACATAAAAAACATGCATATTGATTTAAGAAAGTAAAAAGTTTAGTAATTCAACATGTATACTCACACACATGCATAACCAACTATTTGGCAGATAAAACTAACCACCATTTCTACTTCTGATCATTACAGTCATATGAAATTGAATACAAGAAAGTGAACATTTTAATTCAAGCTTTTTTTTTTCTTTTACAAACATTTACTAATTATTTCATTCCACTCATAATAAATACATGTTACATTTTGTTGTTACAATTACAAAATTACTTTTTTTTGTATGACGAACACTTAGTATATTCTACACACAATTTACAAGTAAACTCTAGGATTATGTGGATTCCAGTTTTTCATCTTTCTGTATTATAAAGGATGATATAAACTTTAAAATTTGCTTTATTATATTAAGCACCCATTACTTAGTTTTATGAACTTGTGAAATTCTTGTTTTGTCTGGTAGTTAGAAAAAAATAATAAAATGAAACTTTTGTTATACTTTTTGGATAAAAACTACAACTTACCATTCAATTGATCTGCCAATGGGTCATTTACATCAATTGCTATTATCTTCCAATCAGTTTCACCTATATAAGATTGCAACAAAAAAAATACATTAAGCTAAAACTTCAACCAAGAAGAAAATATTTTATATATCTAATGAACTTCTGATCAAAACAAGTTACCTATATAGATAAAAAAACAACTCTGTAATGAATATAGCTAATTTAATACATTGTTCTTAGGTTCTTACTTATAACAACTAAAATGCATTATTTCATCAGTTGGGTACCCTTGCTGGTAGCTATCTTTCAGCTGTAATCCCAATAATATCTTACGAGGTTTGACCAGATTAGAAAATAATCTTCATAATAAAAATGTATCAATGAAAATTCAAAATAATAAAAATTGATAGATTAAACATTTTGACCATTAATTATAAAAGTAACATTAAAGAAAGATCAGCATACAACTTATTTATAGAACACAAACAATAGTGGTTTACTTTGTGTACAATAATAAATTAATTTTAAGCTTCACTGTATTCTATTTCTGGACTGAGTGACCTATTGAACTACACCTATAAATAAATATAACTTATGCTGTGAAAGGTTACTGCCAAATAGACTGTTAACTTAGCAGCTGACTACTCAATACAATAAATTACCTACGAGTTATAGTTATATCAATTAATATCATGAAAATAACTAACTAATCAAACTATTGCCCCTATTGTTTCCAATGACTATTTTTATTGATTAATTCAACTTTATTTATTAAAGTGGTTGCCTTGTGATTTGAGAGTTTGAATTCTGTTGTCATCAATCCTACTTGTCTTTTCATTCATGAGGTGTTATATTTGTTTCCAAGATATGCCAAAATCTACTACAATTTTCTGTCAACACCTCTAATTTTTATATACCAGCCAGAAGAAAGCAACTAGCCCACAGCATCCATCACTAGCTCTTTGGCTACTCTATTACCAATAAAGTGGGATTATTATGATATTATAAAAACTCATATAGCAGAAATGGCAAGAACAGGTTGGGAGGCACAGGGTATTGAATTTGTGATCCTCAATTCACAGGGCAACCACCAGTCATGCTGGCCTAGGAGCATTATATATGATAGTCAATTCTATATATTTATTGAGTAAAGAGTAGTCCAAGATTTGGTGAGTGTACTGCTGGCTGGTTGCCTTCCCTCTGGCCAGCAGTTGAAAATAAGTGAGGGTAGCAAATAGCCTTACTAGTTTACCTATAACTAAAACAAACTTTTTTCAGTTTCAGATAGATACGAACTGAACTCGCACATAATACAACTAGCACTATTTCCATGATAGTATGCATGCTTTTTTTAATTTTATTTTTTGTTTGTACTCAACTCAGGAATGTGAGGGTACAACCTAGTGGCCATTGTTTACATAATTAGCCAAAATCAGAGGTGTAGGAGAAAAATTAAAAGTGTACACACATGGGGAGGAGGTTTATTCAACCAAGAAAATGAATGCCACAGGTGCACCCATTAGTTCTGTTTTTAATTGCTTTTTTCTTTATACAGTTTATAATAACCTGGTTAAAAAAAATGTAAAGTTTAAAAAAACAATATGGCTCCTGGGCCAGATAATATTTCCCCAAGAGTTTTGAAGGAGGTTAAAAATTGGATATGCGAGCCACTTATACTATTTTTTACTTTTTTTTTTTGTCAGTCCTTGAATAATGGGCAAGCACCAGAGGATTGGAAGTTAGCTAACGTAACTCCTCTTTTCAAGGGAGGTGATAAAAATTGTCCCAGTAATTATAGACCCATATGTCTTACATCAGTTGTGGGAAAAGTTTTGGAAAGTCATTTAACAAAGTTTAGAAGTTTATTGGATAGTTAACATGGTTTTACTAAGGGAAAATCTTACCTTACAAATCTTTTGGCATTCTTTGTAAAGGTTACTACTTAAGTAGGTGAGGGTAAGGGTGAAGATTTGGTGTATCTGGATTTTCAGAAAGCATTTGACAAGGTGCCACATAAAAAAACTTGCAAAAAATTATCTCTATAGATTTGTGGGATAAGTTAGCAAATTGGATAGAAGAGTAGCTGGATGGAAGAAAGCAGAGGGTTGTTACAAATGGAGTTCAGTCAAACTGGATTAATGTCACAAGTGGGGTACCTCGGGGCTCCATCTCAGGACCTCTGCTCTTTTTGATTTACATCAATTACATAGATGAAGGAATAGCTAATAAATTACTTAAATTTGCAGATGATATTAAGGTCTTGGGTGTCAAGAGGATGCTGCTGACTTGCAAAAGGATTTAGATCATTTAGTGAATTGAGCAAATAAATGGTAGATGGCTTTTAATTATAATAAATGCAGGATAATACATGTGGGTTATCATAATTTGAATTAAGTATAATTTGGATGGGAATAACCTTAACAATGTTTAGGAAGAAAGGGGGTCTTTTTGGTGTTCTGGTTACTCAGTTTAAGCTTTCTAAGCATTCTAATGTTGCTAGTGGCAGAGCAAATAGGTTGGTTGGTTGGTTGGTGTTTTATGGCGCAAAGCAGCTAGGCTATCTGCGCCAAACAACCGGTAAAAGCAATGAAAGTAGATTAAAGTAAAATGT